AGGAGCCTCTGAAAGAAACCAAAAACTGAACTGATTGGGTTTATTCTGAACCAGTCCGGCTTTATTCATCCTCAGAGAGCAGAACCGGATTATGGACCGGAACACAGAGCATTCAGCGCGAGGCTACAGGAGGTGTAGGAGGGCTGCAGGAGGTGCAGGAGGGCTGCAGGAGGTGCAGGAGGGCTGCAGGAGGTGCAGGAGGGCTGCAGGAGGTGCAGGAGGGCTGCAGGAGGTGCAGGAGGGCTGCAGGAGGTGCAGAACAGCTTCAGTGAACTTTGATCAGCCTCAGATGTTTGATTTTAATACAATTATGACAAAATGTACAAAGCATCTTTTCTTTCTTTTTTTTTTTGTGACCCACAAAGACATGGTAAGGAGAGAAAAAAGATCAACCAAACTGACGGTTTAGATCAAAAGGACAAAGAAGCATCACCTGTCCAGAGGCGCAGCCAGAACATTTTCTAAGGGTGGCCAGGCAATAACCACTGAACACTGAGGGGTGGCCAATGGGACAACCTACTCTGTTCCAACAGGAAAATTAACAAGCAGAACAGCCATATTTTCTAAATAAAGACAAACTATATTTTCCTACAGCCTTCGCTGACAAATAGATGCATATATTTAAATGTCCGTGCTTTCTAAATAAAAGGTATAGTGGATAAAATCCTGTCAGGTTTAAGTTCTGGGGTGAACATCTTTTCCATTGTCATACCTACTTTTATCAACAATCATTCTGCATAAAATTGATATTTACAAATACTAATATCTACATAAATTGATTATTTAATAATTTTTTATTAAAATATGTATCTATGATTTCACTGAAGATTTCAAGATGATTTGCAGACGTATCATTTTCTCTTTACCCCATAAAACACAAAATCTAGTTCTGAAGAGAATGAATTCTGTACTTATCTTTAATGTTTGCATATTGATGTATATAATTAACCAGTGTTTTTGTTGTCAAGTAATTCTTAATATATGAAAAATTTAAATGTTTTAAATGTAGGGGTGGCAAAGGCTGGCCATGGCCACCTCTGGCCCCCCATCTAGCTCCGCCCTTGAAAGAATTTGACTTTTTTTTTTTTTTTTTTTTTTACACAGTTTTTTGGTTCCTCAAAGGTTAAATTTAATAAAACTAATAATTGTTTAATTATTAGTTTAATCTAATCTAAGTGTGCCTTTAAAATGTGCAAAACAGACCTAATTTAGTAGAATAATCCTTTTTTTTTCTCCCTACCAAAATAATTTTAGGTACTCTTTCATCTTTCATCTACTTTTGATCTACATTTACTTTTTAGAAACCTGAATTTTTCCCATTTTTAGGTCAAATGTTTTTAAGCACAGTCAGGACTTGTGTTGATTGGTGGTTTTTCATTAGGCTGCAGCTAAATAAGACGAGCATCATCTTTATCCTCTCCTGTTAAATATCCCAGAGAGGAAGGAGCCACTCCTTCAAGAAGCTGAAACTTCTTCCTCTTCTTTCTGTTTTCTATGGATCAATCATCCATGATGCATCACACCTCTGTCTGCTGTAACAGTTATCTATCCTCCTGCAGAAAGAAGCATAAAAATGTATCTCAGCACAAAACTGAGTGAAAACTAGACACTTAAAGTCTTTTATGAATCATGCATTTCTAAAAAAAAAAGGATTAAATGCATCTTCTTTAAATAATAATCCTTCTTAAAATGATGATTCCAGCTGACTACACTTCCGTTATTTACCAAATGATTAGTGGCGCCATCTGAATTACACCACAGAAATCACATATTAAATCAATTGAGAGACTCAGGGGCCCCTGCAGAGCCGGCCCTGGCCCCTGTACTGGAGACATATAGAGCTGAGTCAGTTTGTGATGATGAAAACTGATATGTCCTTTTTATTAGTTTCATTTTTACTTTGTGGTTTAACAGTTATTTAGAACTGAAGGTGTCAAAAATCCTACTACTAAATGATGGGCTTATGCCTTATTTTCTTGTTTGCTTTATTACTTTGTTATAAGTTCCCATAAATAACTGAGAACAGTTTTTAATAACTAATTTAGCTCTCAGTGGTAAACTATTCTGACCTTTTTCACAATAGAGTCAACCAATAAGATGATTTTTAAAAACAAAATCATCATATTTCGGACATTGGAATTAAAATCATCGGCATTATTAACATCTTTCTATGGGATGATAAAGTCCAAGGCTCAGACATCCTGATCATCTTCTCCAGCCTGACTTTGAGCTCCTTCCTCAAACAGAAGATTCAGAAATCCAGCAGGATGAAAAAGTCAAAGCAATTTTACAGTAGCAGCCATTCAAAATGGCCGTTCCCGGTCAAATGCCAGCCAAATGGCAGCCCACTTCCCTGCAACTCCCAGCGAAAATTCCTCCAACTTTCAGCCGCTGCACTGACCCCCTCTTGCAAATATTTTTTTACCTTGACTCCATCCTTTCACTGGATTACAGGGTCTGACCAGGAGATGACGCTTCTCTATAGATCATAATGTCCACAAATCATAACAGGAACAATATTTTGGTGCAAAGATTGATGTTTAAAGGGAATTGTAGGAGACCGGCCAAGGAAAGTGGGTAAATGTTGAATGGCTGCTAGTGTAAAACGTGGCCAAAACGTGGCCTTCAGTTGTCCTTTCTAGGTTGATGTTGCTTGTTTCTGTGGATTTTATTTGAAATTATGGGATTATTCCCTGGTTTTTATCTTTTATTTCACCTCCTGTGAACCAAATGTCCCTCTGGGGACAGTAAAGGTAAAGTTAAAGTGAAATCCAAGAGTCTGCATTTTGTCAATGTGATGGCACAATTAGAAAATTAAAAGCTTCACCAATCGTGAGCTTAGAGCTTAGAAATATATATATATATATATATATATATATATATATATATATATATATATATATATATATATATATATATATATACCCATTCTAATCGAGCCTATCTCTAGCTGTCTAAGGGGGAGAGGCGGGGTCCACCCTGGATAGGACACCAGTCCATCGCAGGGCAACACAGAGACAAACAAGACAAACAACCATTCACACACACACTTGTTTCTATATACATATATATATATATATATATATATATATATATATATATATATATATATATATATATATATATATATATATATATATATATATATATATATATATATATATATATATATATATATATATATATGTATATATATATATATACATGTTTTTTAGGCTTAAATTAGAAGTTTTGCCATTATCGCACTTCCTATCACCCTGAGGGTATTTACCCCCCAGCGGATTTCTAGTTGCGCCCCTGGATGTCTTTCGGTGCTGACCGGGTCGCACGGTATTTCAGGGGGGGTTCCTTCTCCTGATTGATCAGCTGAGGACCTCCCCCTGAACCCCCCATCGTCTCCATGGAAACCGTCCGAAAGGCGCCGCTAGGGCTTGGCTCGAGGGCTGCTGTGAATGGGCTGACGTCACGGCGCCAGAGAGTCTGCTCCAAGAGAGGAGAGAGAGGAGAGAGAGAGAGAGACTGCTGCCGCTGCTGGTTGAGGTGCGCGCGGCTTTGCGCCAATTTCTGACCTGTCTGTCAGTCAGCCTCTCAGGCATCAGTCAGAGGGCGTCCTGCGAAATGGGTTCACAGGTGTGGGAAGGACGGGAAGGAGGAGAGGAAATGGGAAACATCACTCGCAGCAGATGTGGACACAGACTGTGGGAGATCTAGATTATGTTTGGAAATGCATAAAGAAGCTGGAGGAGAAGCCGCGCGTAAAAAGGAGGCGCAGATGGTGTTCGGCTCCGTTTCTTATCGTTTCTGACTCCTTCTGTGGACTGAAAATCATCTTATTAAACCTGACAGAGACTTTCTCTGGGTTCTTCACGACAAACCCGGCTTTATTTGAAATAAAGTCTTAAAATCAGTCTCATTGTTACATCTCACAGATATCTCCTCATTTTTATATTTTTTAAAGACGCATATATTCATTTGGATGAAACTGAATTATCAAAGCTGAACTCCAGCAGCCTCCACCTTCCCCTGAGGGCCCCCCCTGCGCCCTGTCATCATCTCCAGCTGATGGATGAAGCACGTAATTCCGACAAAACAAATGGCTCATTCAGAAAACATCAGATCATTAATCACGTCTTTATGCGCCGCTAAGATTAGGAAGTTTTTCATTTGGAATCCTGAGCAACAAAATAAACAATCTATTGTCATCTTTGCGGGTTTTTTTTTTTAATAAAATATAGTAGAAGGACGTCACTGCAGATCTTTTTAAAACAGTAAAACTCATAGAACACATTTTTCTAATCCAAAAGAATGAAAAATAAAAACTATAAGCTTTGTTTTAGAGTGTTGATGAAGTAGAAACAACGTGAAGGTTCAGTGAGTTTCTGTGCGCATTGCACTAAACCATTTCCTGGTGAAAATTGGAAGTTTTTATTTTGTTTTTATTTATTTTTTTAACCCATGATGGATTTCCTCCCATTTTGACCCTCAGCCGCTCATGCCGGCCTTCACACCGGCTCCGATCTGCTCTGATTTCAAAGTCTCCAGATGCGCCTGTTCCAAAAGCACATCTTAAAATGTTGGTAAAAGATGAAAAATGATTATTTTTGGACACATCGAACATCTCCTCTCCTCATTTCTTTAATAATAATAATAATTAACGTTGTTCCAACTAATTCCCTTTGGGCTATATATCCTATTTTTATATTTTTTCCCATTTTAAAGTTGCGCGTAAAAGCCTCCAGGCGCGTCCTCATCCCCACCATCTGACATCCATCATTAATTTTCTTGATCAGAAACAGGTAAGCGCTTAATTTTCCAAATTGCCCACCGGAGCTGCTGAAGCGCCCTCCGCTGGTTCCGCCTCCGTCCTGCGCCGCCGCTGCGTAAATCAGCCAATCAGAGGCCAGATGTGCCGTGAGCGACGCGCCAGCCGCGTCCAATCAGCGCCTTTCAGCCCCTCCGTATCACAGGCGCAGGCTGCTGCCTATAAAACCCGCTCTGACAGCTCGGCTGATCCAGTCTGACCGTCTGACAAAAACTAAGCAGGAATAACCGAAGCGAAGCCTGGAAGCCAACTCTTCCCCCCCTCCTCCTACACACAGAACACCGGCGACTAAACTCTTCCACCCCGGCAGAATGAAAGCAATAAGCCCCGTTCGGTCCTTCCGGAAAACCGGCACGAATTTCTCGGAGCACTCCCTGGGAATCTCCCGGAGCAAGACCCCGGTGGACGACCCGCTCAGCCTGCTCTACAACATGAACGACTGCTACTCCAAGCTGAAGGAGCTGGTTCCCAGCATCCCGCAGAACAAGAACGTCAGCAAGATGGAAATCCTGCAGCATGTCATCGACTACATCTTGGACCTGCAGATCGCGCTGGACTCCAGCCTGCATCACCCCGCGGCGCGGCCGGGGCAGAGCGCGTCCAGGACCCCTCTGACCGCGCTCAACACAGACATCAGCATCCTGTCATTACAGGTAATTACGCTGCAGCTGATTCCACCACATGGGAGGCAAATCAAAACTAAACATTTTGTTGTTGCTGCACCGATGCGCACAAAATGGCTTGTTGGAAAAGAAAATGGTCCGTTTCTCTCTTTTTTTTTTTTTTTTCTCCTTTTGTTCAACATGAGGAAGAAAAGCGACCTACATTTGACGCCAGACACTTCGATCCAAAGAAGAAGAAAAAAAAACATAAACAAACAAAAAGAAGCCCTAACATTTGGTTTGTGTTTGTTTGTTTTCAGTCTCCGGAGTTTCCGTCAGAGCTGCTGACAGATGACAGCCGGACTCTGCATCGTTAACGCGGTAAGTAGGCTGTCCTCCTCCTCCTCTTCCTCCTCCTGTCTGCTGCATTCTGTCCAGGGCTCCCAGGCTCCAATACAGCCTGTCTCCCAGTCTGCTGAAGCACCAGTCCGCTCCCTGATCCAATGCTCCCAATATGTTGCTCCAGCAGAGAGGGTTCTGTTTGCGCGCAGCAGACTTCAGCCTCTCCACATTCATTGAATCCAGCCTTATTGTGTCTGAAAAAAAGACGCACTTTGCGTTTTATTTTGGTTACATTTTTTTAGTAGAAATAAGCTGGAGGCTCTTGGCTCCAAGCAGCAGCCGTCAGGGTTGTATTATAGCCTCTTGTGTCTGTAATGAAGAGCATCTGCAACAGGAAAATAATGGCTGTTTGGATTACTGCTACTACGATGTCTGCACATAATTGGTACAAGAAGTGGGAAGGCGCCAGCTGAGCGGCAATTACGCTGATTCTTCCCCAGATTGGAGGCTGAAGTTGTGCGGAGAGAGCGCGCGTGCACGGCGCTCCCCTCCTCTTCCCGTGTGTGTGTGTGTGTGAGGGGGGGTGCGCGCGTGCGCATCTGGAGCGCAGGGTTTGCTCAGTATTGGGAGTGTTTGGTTAAATGTTAAAAACTGCGGCTTCCTCCCTGGCGCCAGTCTGTCCGGATCTCTGCCCTGTTTGCATTTTCTAAACACGCCTCTTTCTCAATCTTTTGCAGGTGTTTGGTCAAGACGCAGAAAACACACACAGGACCTGAGGAGCAGGACTTTCCTCCCCCCCCCACACCCCCTCTACTCCTCCTCTTCCTCCAGGCCTGGATTTTTTTTTTTTTTTTCTGAAATCAAGAGACTTTTGCTTATTATGGGACAGTCTGATGTGATGTGTTTTTCTGTTTGGACACCTCATTATTATTATTATAATTATTATTAATTAATTTAAGACTTCTTATTTGTGGGTCCTTTCTGGAAATGGAAGGCGCGTTATATGGGATTATTTCCCCTCCCTCTACCCTAACCTCCCCCCTCCCCTCCCGTCTCTCCCCCCCGTTTGAACTCTTCGCTTTTTTTGCGGAGGTGGGAACGTGTACAGAACAGACTTGGGTTAGTTACTGTAAAAACAAAAAAACAAAAAAAGTTTAGTCTTGTCTTGTCAGAAATGTTGGCACATGAAGGACTGGACGATGTCTAAAGCATAAAAAAGTTAAAGTGGAAGAATGAGACCTTGTGAACTCTCTGTCTCTCTCTACTCAGCGGGAGTTAATCTTGTACAGTTGCAGAAATTTGAAACTTCTGCAAAAAAAAAAGTGTAATGTTGTACTTAATTATGCTGAAACTTTTTATAAAAGTATTGTAAATTGCACCTCTCTTTTTCTATTTTGTGCAGAATAAATCCAAAACTCTGCAGGTTTTTATGTGAGGCCGTAATGACCGCCGCCGTGCGCGCACAGGTGCGCAGGTTGCGCCCAGAAAAGCGCACTCAGAGCGCACTGGATGCACTTTTACTTTCTCACATGCAATGTAGAGCAAATAGGATTAGATGGTTTTAGTCTGAGCCAGTTAAGCTCTGGCCAGCGCTGCGTTTTAAACTATCTTAAGCAATCTAATTTAAGGGTGAAGTTGATTCTGATTGGTTCTTTATGAAATTGATTTTCGTTTTAAATTGTTTCCCTTCTTCAGTTTAAAAAAATGTGTGATTCATTTGATCATATCAGTTTGGATAAATTGGATCAATCTCTGAATCCTGCAAAAGGATTTTTTTTTTAACTCTTAAACCGGGTGGATGAGCTTCAATGTTTTCTTATTTGGTCTCTGAAAGGAGCAAACTTGAACTCTGGGTAGATTAACTCTCTGTCGTCATAAATGGTGGCAGCATCATGCTGTGGGGAAGCTGATTGGTTCAGGATGGAGGCTCTCCCTCCTGCAGGACATGATCCTGAGCAAAGATGTTAGAATGGCCTAGTCAAAGTAAAGACCTAAACTTGTCTCTGTGGAATAATTAAAATATAATTATTCCATTTTACTGCAGAGTGATTAATTAATTGATCCTGCAGAGGAGCTGCTCTACAGGAAGGTGGTTTGATGTAGAGAAATAGTTTCTTTTAATTCTCTAAATCAACATTTCAGGCCTTATAAGTGTTTAAATGTTGCAGAGGAGGTTTTCTTTTCTGCATGATGCTCCGTGTTTCTCATGCTTCCATCTAACCTGAGGAATCAGACCTGCAAACCTCTGAAAACAGAGCAGCTCAGCTCCATGTGGACAGAAAAACCTGGAAAATGTCAACACACTTCTGTTGGTCTGAGCTGCTGCTTCTCACCGCTCTGTGTCCGCAGGCCTGCAGCAGGTTTGTATGCAGAGTGCGCCATCTATCGGACAAAATCGGTCCTGTCAGATTCAGACCTGGCAATTTGCATCTGTAAAACACAAAACCGTTTAGGATGAAGACAATTAAAACCATTTTTGGAAATATTTTTGAAGTTCCTGCAGATTTCTAATGTCAAAGTTTCACATTTGAACAGTAAATCATTAAATTTTTAGTGGATTTTATAAAAGCAAATGCAAAAGTCATGGAATGAACGAGCCAGCCCTTGTTTTGGTTCAGTTATTATTGTTCGCTTCAGGTAATTTCCATCAAGAAGACAAATTTAAATGTTTGTCTAAAAATAAAACTTATTGGGACAAAAAAAAAAATCTATATTATCCTGTATTTAATTTTATTTAAAATGATTGATCACATAATCAAAATGGCTCTTTGACAACCATCACATACCTGCATTAGTTCTACCACATTTAATGTTAAAGCAGGAGAAAGAAAATGATTAATCTTTAGAAGTTTAAAATGTTTTATTTCATTTTAAATTACTGATTCATACAATAAGATGATTCAAACTGCAAGAAAAAACACCATAAAGTTTCAATGTACACTGAAAAAATAATCACATTTAGTTTAACACAATTGTTTTATGTCCTACCCAACTAACACAAAACTATTTTGTTAAAGTAAATATCAAGTAAATGGGGAAAAATGGTTGCATTACTTTTTTCTGTGTAAAAAAACTAATTTTCATTTAAATTTAAACTTGCAGAAAAATGGCTTCAAAACGAACCGTCTTAATTTTTAATTCCCTGACTTGTGCTAAACGTGCAGCTTTCAGCTGAAAGGTTCTGATTTCTTCCCATGAATCAAACTCATCTCTCTCCGCCATCTTGCTCTATTCCCTGTTTTTATCAGTGGTTATTAAGGGAGTAAAAAGGTGCCGCCACATGTGGAAACCAACACACTTTTGCCAAAGCTAAGCTGCACTTCAAAAGTTTAAATGTAAGTGTATTTTCCCTTTATTTGATCAGGAAAATTAAAAAATTGCCAGTGGAATAAGATGATTTCAATAAGATTAATTCCATTGGCAGATTATCTGATTTACCTGCTTAAATCAAGGCCAAACACACCTTGTTTTTACCTATTTTTAGATCAGTTTTTGCAGAGTAACTCCTACATTTTTTAAAATCTTGACAGAGGAACAACTATTTTACTTTTAGCCGACAATTTTCTCTCATTGGCCTTTAAGTTTCAAACATTCTTTCTATTCATCTGTAAGATTACAGGTCCTTTCACCACAAAGCTGAATGTTCTGACCAGTGACCTTTGCTCTGGTTTTTTGATGGTTTCAGTCCATAAAAACGTTCAGAGGAAGAAGTTTCGGACTCATCAGATAGGAGGAGTGAAAAAAATCAACTCTGATCTGAAAGTTTTAAAACAGCAAAGCAGAAAATATGGAAGCTGCTTAAAGAAGAGAGAAAAATTCAGAGCAGATTGATGGACGGATCAAAACTAAAAACATATTCAGGAATAGAGAGCGGCTTATAACCAGTCACATTTATTTAACTTTTAAATTCAGAGACAAAATAAATACTTTGAGATGTATTTGTACTGCAGGGTACTTGCTACTGGAGTTTTATGAAGCATTGCCTCGGGTATTTGACTCATCACGAGGAGTTTCACTGAATAAAAAACTAATTTTAAACCAAAGAAACACAGAACGTCAGACAGCGGAAGTTTCTGTCTACTGGAGCAGCTGGAAATCGAGCTAATATACAGGAAACGATTCATATGCTGTAAAAAATTAAATAGAAATAAGCCCATCTTTCTTTTTTTCTTTGATTTAAGCAAATATGACAATTTGCCAATGAGATTATATTATTATTATCTGAAATAAAATAAACGTCTCTACTAGTGCATAATATCTAATCTAATTTTAAAGGCAAAAATACGCATTTTATTTGCAGATCATCTGATCAAACTGCTTAAATAAGTGAAATATTATCACATTTGTACTTATTAGATCATTTTTGTCAGTCTAACATGCTTACATCAGCTACATTATGAAACTGTTTAATACGTTTTATACAGAAAAACATACATCTAAAGGTTAATTGAATTTATTTTCACCAAAATTTCAGCATATATTTTTGATCATTACTAAATCTGATGTTATGATCAGTAACTCAGACCTTAAGCCCTTTTTTTAAATCTCATTTTTGACTCCTGCATATTTTCTTATTCAGTGAAAATAGGTTAAAGTAGTTCTAATAGTCGTTATTTGCTGCTCTGCAAACTGCAAAAACCTGATCTAAAAATAAGTAGGAATTAAAAGTGTATTTAACCTGAAGCTGAGCAGGAAAATGTGATCTGTATGATTGTCACTAAAGTAAGTGTTTTTTTTCTTATTTGAAAGTAAATAATTTTATTCTGCTGGGAAATCGCTTTACTTACCTGCTCAAAACAGGGGAAGTTATAATTATTTGAAGAAAAATGGATTCATAGATTAAAATTTTTGCAGGAGAGAAAAAACAGGATGGTCAGGTGGAGGCATGCGGTCGATGATGGATGGAAAGCAGTGATAGATAATGGGAGCATGGGTGACAGGATGGGGACTAAAGTCTGCTGATTGCTTATGGAGTGACTTTTGGTCCATTATTGTTGAAAAGAACAGGTTTGGTTAAAAAAAAAAAAAAAAAAAAAACACACAATCCAGAAATGAAACTTTGAAAAATGTTTTTGCCAAAATAGGTTTTGACACTAGCTTTGTTTTCTCAAAAAAAAAAAAAAAAATTCAAATCTGATTGTCATATTTTAATTTTCTCAAAAATATTTCAAAAGCTTAAAATGTTTACTTTTTACCATTTCCTATAGATTTTACATTTTCAGTTTTATTTAAAAATTGGGTTTTATAAATTGCATTCTTTTGTTTTTACTTCTGGGGGCAAAGACCCATTTCTAATTGTCTGCTTGGACGTTAGCAAAACATTTTCATTGGTTAGCGTTTGGACTTTTCTTTACCAAAACAATGGAACAAAATTCACTCCATAATTATTCAGATTTACACTGAAACCGTTTTTTTTTTTTCAAATAAATATCATTCAAACTTTAAAAAACAAACCTTTAAATCAAATTCTTGATTTTGCGGCTGACTGCTGAGGAAGTTTCCAGACAAATTTTGGAAAACAAACGAGCGACAGACGACTCCTGGGGGCTGTGAGAAGTTTTATTCATTCACCAAACACAACATGTAACAGCGAGTCTATCATCATTTTCTCCTACAGAGACACCAAACAAGCAGAACCGCAGCATGCAGCAGCTCTGAGGGGAAACTCTCCCAAAACAACACCTAGTTTCTTAGTTTTATCACTGAGAACAGATTTCATTCCTTCAATAAACACAAACATTTCACATTAAGCAGCATGAGGAGCGGAGAGCGACCAGGAGACGATCCTGCTCAGAACCCAGAAACCTGCTGACCTCACAGAACGCTCTCCCGCTCATCGCCCAGGCTGATGGAGCGCAGGTTCTGGTTCTGGTGGGCGGCGGCGGAGGTGGTGCTTCCTGGGTGGATGATGAGGACGCCTGAGTCTAACGGCGCCTCCTGCCGCTGGCGGCTATTGTTGGAGTTGGTGTCGTCGGCGGCGCCCGAGTTGTTGTTGAGGGTGGTGCTGCTGGCGGAGCGGTTGAGGTTGCCGACGGCGTCGGAGGGCCACCCCTCGTCCGGGCTGCTGGCCATCAGGCTGGCCTCGGACGGCGCGTCGGAGCAGATGGACATGCGGGCCACCGCCGCGTCCTGCAGGCCGCT